CGAGAGGTTCATCCAGGAGTCTGGCCGTTTCCGTTGCGTCATAGGGAGAGCATCGAAGAATTGGTGTGAAGACTCCCTCCAGGTGCTCGGCGAATGCGTTGGCCCTCTCCGCCTCTGTTCTGCACCATGAGTCGTCTGGTTTCTTAATGGGCGGAATCCTCTTGAGCGGCCGCTTAATGTGCTTGGTGACATTCCACAAATTGTGGTAAGGGTCACCAGGCGCAAGCTGTCCTACGAAGCTGTCAAGGGCCTCCTTCCTCAGGTTTGCCAAAGCCTCCTTAAGCTTTGTGGCTCTGTTAAGAGCGGTCTTGTCTCTAGGATTTCTTGAGAGGAACCATACTCGTCGGAGACGCCGTTTCTCGGTCTTCAGCTCGATTACTTGGGGATTCCAAAAGTGGACGTCCCTGCTGGTAGCTCTCAGCTGGTTTGAGAGCCTTGGTGCCGCACGTGCCGCTGCCTCCTTAATTTGCGTGGTGAGATTCTCGACGGCAGTCTCGATATCTTCGGGAGTGTCCAGTGGTGGGTTCGGGTTCATGGAGTTCAGCCAGTGATGGTATCTGCTGATGTCTGAGGTTTTGTATATCAGCTTTTTACGGGCGGTTCGCAGCATGGCTGAAGCGTACACGGAAATAGCTATGGCGCTGTGGTCCGAAAGGAGATCCTCGACCTCTCTGGCTAGAATCCTTGCAGAATCCAAGCCACCGGAGATGGCAATGTCCAGAACGTCTGGGATTTTTGCAGGATCGGTGGGCCAGTAGGTCGGTGCACCAGTCCCATGGCATTTGAGATTGCGGGACAGAACCTGCCTGCACAGCACTCTGCCTTTTGGATTGCAGACTCTGGATCCCCACCAGGTGTGCTTGGCATTGAAGTCCCCTCCTATGACAAACTTGGGGCCCAGGCTGTCCAGGAGCATTTCGAAATCCTCGTCTCTGACCCTATGCCTTGGAGGGCAGTAGGCAGAGCCTACAGTGATGTCGCCATGAGTGGTGTTGACGGAAATTCGGGCGCATTGCACCCAATCCTCTTGGATGGCCGGTAGGGTCTCGAACTTGATGCTGCTGCGGATGAGGATGGCCGCCCCGCCGCGGGCCGAACCACTTGGATGGTTGGCAGGGATAAGGTCATACCCTCTTAAGGTGAAGTAAGACCTGGCGGAGAAGTGGGTTTCGGAAATGAGTATAATGTCAGCTTGGTTGGTCTTGCAGTATAGCTCGACCTCAGGCCTGCTCTTGATCAGGCCGTTTGCGTTCCAAATGGTAATGTCTAATCCCGTTTGCATAGGGACTTGCAAACGGTGGCCATTATTTGCGTGATTTGGCTCATCATTTTCTCTATCATTCTCTGGAACATGGATTCCATCCTGGTCATCATTGCTTCCATCAGACTGTCTGGTTGCGGGGAGGTGTGAGTCCCACCGGTTTCGCTAATAACTTTTCTTAGAATAGACCGAATTTGATAAAATTTTAAACAACAGTAGACAATTATATATAAATTATGTGTGCAAAGTATGGTTTATGTAGCTTTTGAAATGTTGACAGTATTGACGAAATTCTGTAGCAGAGGAAGGGGGGAAAATTAAAAAAAAAAAAAAATTAACTTGTTTCTAGGAGAATCTGGATAGCAACTTTGGTTGTTCCAGCTTTTATAGTTTCTGAGATACTTGCGTTCATCCAGAAGGACAGACGGACGGACAGGTCTAGATGCTCACTTATAGACACACATATACTCACATATACACAAATCGTATGTAAATGTTATGTTATACGCACTTTACATGAGTTCGAATACCAAAAAAAAGTCTAAATAATTGTAATACCCTTTATCCGTAAGGTCATAAAAAGGTATACTCTATATTGTATGTTCAGAAAGACACGGATAGATATACATAGGCATCCATACACTCACATAGACACAATTTCTATGTAAATGGGCAGTTATACACCCTTGATGTGAGTTCGAATACGAAGGGAGGTAAAATCGATCGAAATGTTTATTAAATTTTGTTTTAATTTTTATAATCATTCTACACATTTCCGAGAGTTTCCGAGAGACGTGTTTTTTATTGTGTGCTCCGGAAAAAAAAATTCAAAACAAAAAGTACTCTACTGTGTGCAAAATTTGCACACGTCGCAAATTTCGGACGCTGTCTCGTACGGTGTCGGCATATGAATAATAAAAAACAAGTAAAAAAGCTAAAGTCGGGTGTCCCGACTTTGAAATACTCTGTACATATGTTTACAATAATTATAGAAAAAAAAAATTATGAAAATAAAAAAAAATTTTGATCGATATTACCTCTCTCGGTATTCGAACTCACGTAAAGGGTTTATAATTGCACATTTACATAGCAATTGCCTCTGTGTAAGTGTATGTATGCCTATGCGCATCTATTCGTGTCTGTGTAAGCATTTTCGCAGTCAACCAAACAGCAACATCAACAACAGCCGCGGGCAGCGCTTGAGCAGCGCTTGAGCAGCGCTGCAGCAGCAAATATATTTATGGCTATAACTTCTCGTTAAATCGGTGTATCATAGTGAAACTTGGAATACGGACATATAATAACCAACTGGGGGTATTTACAAAATTTTCGAAATTCCAAGAATTACGGGAGTTACGATTTGCGGGGTAGAGGGGGGAGGGAGGGAAATTCCAAAATATACATTTTCTGCGTATTCACATAAGGCATGTGGGACTAAAATTTGGTGTTCCTAGGTCTTATAGTCTCCGAGATATAGGCGATTATACGAATGGAAAATCGGGAAAACCCCCATAGGGGGGAAGTGGGGGGGGAAAATCAAAAAAATAAAACAAACTCGTATAGAATACACACATAACGCATCTTTGTGCAAAATTTGGTGTCTCTATCTCTTATAGTCTCTGAGATCCAGGTGTTCATACGGACGGACAGACGGACAGACTGACAGACGGACAGACGGACAGACAGACAGACAGGGCTAGATCGACTCGTCTCGTCATGCTGATCAAGAATATATATACTTTGTGGGGTCTGCCACGCCTCCTTCTGCCTGTTACATTTTTCAGCTCCCGCAAACCTAATATACTTCTGTACATTTCATGTACAGAGTATAAAAACGTAAAGAGTAGAGCGATAAAACGGCACGCTCTGCCCATCGGGCTAAACATTACACCTTGCTCCCTGCAAGGGGGGAAATAAAAATAAATATCGACAACATACATTTGCAAATAAGTAATAAACAATGCCAAAAAGTGAAAAAATTTCTTTTGACTATCACCTTAGAAGTAAGCAGATTGATTACAAAGCAAGAGAGAACGCTACAGTCGAGCAAGCCCGACAGTAAAATAGCCTGTACTCCCCAAAAAAAAAAGAAAATTATTTTTAATTTAATATTTAATTTAATTTAATATATTTAAAAAAATTAAATTCTTTAAAAAAATTAAATTCTTAAAAAAAATTGAATTAATTAACTAAATTAAATAAAATTTATTTCATATATACATAGAAGACATGCTTCTGTACAGTTTCAACAGAATACATTTACATCATCGGGTCTATGCGTGTTTATATGCATGTATGTATGCAGCACAAAGTTGAACCAAAGCAGCAACAACAACAACAGCTGTGGGCAGAGCTGCAGGCCAGTAGGTGGCGCTATCTATATGTCGACTGGTGCGTTAGAATCTGCTATCTTTATCGATTGTCCAGTGAGAATTTCATGACATTTTATCGATTGGAAGTGAAGTTATTGCGTTTTAGGTGTCAGTATGTTTGTGTTATCGGTGCAAAAATGAGATTCGAACAAAGAGCCAACATTAAATTTTGTTTTAAAATTGGTAAAACTTTTACCGAAACGTTTCAATTGATGGAACAAGTTTCTGGCGATGATTGCCTATCCCGTAGCAGAGTGCACGAGTGGTTTCAACGTTTTCAAAGTGGTCGTGAGGACCGAAATGACGATCAACATGTGGGCCAATCAAAATTCGTGATCACCGAAAATTCATCGAAACTGTGGTGAATTCATCAAAAATCAGCCGAAATCATCATTGAAATTGAAGGAAATGGAATTGAACATCTCCAAAACATCGATTTATCGCATTTTGACTGAACATTTGGGCTTACGAAAGGTGTGTGCACGGTTTGTTCCGCACAAATTGACTGACGACCAAAAATTGCTCAGACAATCGACGCTTGTGACCGATTATTTGACCAAAAATCACATTTTAACCATTAACCACTCGCCGTATTCACCTGATATGGCACCGTGCGACTTCTATCTTTTCGGAAAAATGCATTTGCCCATGAAAGGAAAGCGTTATGCAGACTTAGAGGCCATTCAAAAGGTTTGCACTGGCTTACTGACGGCCATACCGGCCAACGAGCTAAAACAATCGTTCGACATGCTTTTGGATTGTGCAAAAAGCTGTATTGAAAGCAGAAGGAGACTATTTTGAATAAAATAAAATGATTTTGCCGAAAAAACCGTTTGGTCTGATTTTTTTTAAAAAGTCCTGTTTACTTTGGAACACACCTTGTACATACCGTGACAGGCTTTTGAGGCACCGTATTTTGCTTGCAAGAGGACTTCTTCCTGCCAGACCTTTGCGAAGACTAAAACGATTAGGTTTTTTCAAAACATTTAGAAATGCTAAGGCCACCACTTACTTATTAATCCTCACGCGGAAGTGCTCGAGGTTAGGCTATTTATATTTGCTAACATGTATTGTTAAGGTGCTAAACCTGTATGCACGGATTCAATGCTGATATTATATAACACAAAAAAATTATACACATATACTATATATAGAGTATTTCAAAGTCGGGACACCCAACTTTAGCTTCTCTACTTGGTTTTCCTTTTAATATAAACAAATTTTAAAAAAACCAATACCTAAGGCTATCATGTTATGAAAACATATATAATCGGTTGGTTAAATAGTTTGTTCATAACAGGAGAAACACATATTTCAAAAAGGAATACTGGTGATTTATAAGTTATTCATAGACGTATGTTACTTACCAAAAGCTTCTAAAATGGTGTTTGCTTCCAAAATTTGTTGCTGTTCCCATGTAGAAACATTAGAAGTAATGGCACACAAATATTGCAAAATAAATTTTGTAGATTCCGTTTTTCCAGCTCCCGATTCACCAGATATGACGCATGACTACAACATATTGTAAAAATTTAATTTTAAATTGTAGTAGCATATAACTAAAGTAAATATAATTCTATACTAATATTATAAAAAGGAAAATTTTGATTGTTTGAATTGAAAAGGCTCCGGAACTACTGAACCGATTTAAAGGATTCTATCCCCGGTTAACATAGGCTACATTATATTTGCAATAAAGATAGGGATCCCTACTAAAACGTTAATAATGTATCCCGAGGTGTAAAAAAATATTCTAAAAAAATTCCTGAACAAGATGCTGTTAGTTTTGAATCATCCGCAAAACATTGTGTCACTTTAAATATTACTGTAAATATTATTCAGGGTGATTTACGATATAATTTATGTCAGGGTAAGTACTAGCTGATTATAACTATCCAAACAGCTTATAATTAAAAACATATAATTTTTCTACCCTGTACCCGTAGGGTAAAAAGGGTATATTAGGTTTGTGCAAAGTATGTAACATGCAGAAGGAAGCATCTCCGACCCCATAAATTATATATATTCTGAATTAGCATAACGAGAGAAATCGATCTAGACATGTCCGTCCGTCCATCTGTCGGTCCGTTTGTCCGTCTGTCCGTCCGTCTGGATGAACGCAAGTATCTCAGGAAGCTGGAACAACAAAAGTTGGTATCTAGATTCTCCTAGGTCCGAGACAGAACGGGTTTATTTTATTTTTTTTTTTAAATTTTCCTCCGCTACAGAATTCAGTTGGAATTAAATCATTTCAAAAACCAATAGCTCGAGTGTTTATACTTGTACGCATCTCAATAGTTTTTCGTTTCGATTTTTGACATCTTGGAAAATCCCCCTAGATTTTTCATTGGCGCCCGAGTAGGGACATCGTTCATGTGTCGCTTTTTTGAAAGCGCGGTTACGCGGAAAGTGAATTTTTCGGTTTATTTCGGCATTTGCATAAAGCGCTTAAATTGCTCGAGCTTTTGGTTTGGTCTCTGGAGTGCATACTTTGGAAGACAGCTACTGGATCCATGAGACGACCCGTTGCTGAATTATTAAAAGGAAAGTGCCTATGAACCGTTCGCCAGACTCACAAGTATTAAGTGCCAAAAATTTAAAAGCCCTCGAGCATAGCCACAAAGCTATTGATTTGTAACCCCCACCAATAAAAAATAAAACATTGGCGGAGAATTATTCAATTATTCAAAAATTTGCATGCACAATCATTTCATATATATATTTGCAAATAAATAAGTACATAGTAACTAAACAGCCGTTTGAGGCGAGAAACATACAAACATAATTGGGTTCTTGGCTCTTGCGTTGCTTATCTTGTTTCTCACGCCTAGCACCAACTAAGTGTAGCATTGTTGTTGTTTGTACATAGCGACCGTCTTCTACATACTTATACATTTACACAGCTTCTTGGTAGAATCGCACAGTCGCGGCAATAATAATAGTCAATATGGAAGCTGGAAAGGTCGACAGCAAGCTAGTGAAGTGCATCCAAAAGTTGGATAGGGTTATGGCTGATAATCAACGCATTAAATCGTCATTTGAAGACCAAACTATTTCGTTCGACAAAACTCAGTTAGAATGTCGTTCAGAATTTCTGCGCGATTACATTTCGAAAGCGATGACTGTTCAATCAGACATAGATGTGCTCGACCCCAGCAATGATGGAAAGGAAATTTTGGAAGACTTATGTGTCAGCACAAAGGCTTCGTATTTAAAAGGGTTAAAGCCAACTAAGCAGCTTGCACCAAGCGCTCATGACTGATCTTCAATGATGGCCCAACAGCATCGCAGTCAGCTTCCGAAGATGCGCTTGCCCAGGTTTAGCGGCAAACATTCAGAATTTAGAAACTTCATAAGTCTTTTTGAAAGCTTCGTCCACAACGATGTGTCGCTGACACATGTGGAAAAATGCAGCCATTTGGTTTCATGTTTGTCAGATGAGACCCTCGTGCTGTCAAAGTATCATTGATACCTTTTGGGCTGTTTATTCTTCCTTATTGTTGATAGGGAGTAAATATTGCGAATACATTTCTAATACACCTAGTATTATCGAAAGTGAACCATACCACAAAATCGCTCTACGAAGAGCAGCTTAATTATAATGAATTGCCGTCCTGGTCAGCTTGCTATGATAAGCTAAATCGATGCTATCAATACCTTGCAGCAGAAGAATCAACTAAAGTCAAGGTCAAACAGCGACCAGAGGCACCTAGAAGTAGCACCAAATCTTCATTTTCATGTGCTACACGTTCACAAAAGTCAGAACCGAAATGTTCGTACTGCAAGGCAGTACGCCTTCCTGTGCTACAACGGTTTGGTTTTGTTAAGGCACAAAAAATGTGCATTAATTGCCTAAGAAAGGATAATTTGGTGGCCAAATGCAAAGAGTCCAAATTTCGTATATGCTCACAGTCACACCACAGCCTTCTGCATAGATTTGATGTGGACAATTCGACGTCCAGCCCACCACAGGAGTTATCCTACGAAGCCTATGTCAGCCATGTTTCGAGCACTGAGCAAGTGATACTTGCTACAGCCGTTGTCAAAATAAAGGATAGCTTAGGTCGATTTCGACAGCTCCACCAGGTCATGTCGTGCCTGCGAAGCAGTAGAAAGTACCTTCCAACACTGACTTAGCAGATCCAGAATTTTACAAACCAGTCAAGGTCGATTTATTGCTTGGAGCCGAGACGTTTTTCGAGCTTCTTTGTATTGGACAAATAAAGCTAAGTCCAGACACTCCAGATCTTCAGAAAACTTTGCTGGACTGGATCGTTTCGGCAAATACAACCACGACAGTGTGGGCGGGTCAGTGGCGTGCAACATCGCCACTCAAATCGAGCCATGTTCTCTCGACTCGCTAGTTGAGCGCTTTTGGGAATTAGAACAAGTAGCAGAACAGTCGAAGGCTGCCCGCTATACAGCTGAACAATTGGCATGTGAGCGAAAGTTTAAAAAATCAATATGTTGACTAACGTCCGATTTCAAGTCGCTCTTCCGTTTAAACGAAATCCCAACGAAATTTACCACGATTTTATGAAGGAGTATCGTGACCTTGGTCATATGACGCTTCTCAAAATTCCTCCCCCAGAACAACATTACTACATTCCTCACCAATGTGTTCTGCGGCCTGATAGTAGTACAACCAAACTGCGCGTCGTTTTCGATGCGTCAAGCAAAACTTCGACGTCGTTTTCACTCAACGAAACTTTAATGGTCGGTCCTACTATTCAGAGGGAGCTTTATGCGACACTTATCGCTTTTCGGTTGCATAAATATGCCATTTCTGCTGACATTTCAAAAATGTACAGACAAGTGGAAGTGGCGTAAGGTGACCGCAATTTTCAATTGGTCTTGTGGCGCGAAAATCCTGCCCAAGAAATAGATACAAATAGATTGAACACTGTAACCTATGGTACAGCGCCTGCACTGTTCTTGAAGGTTTCACTTTGGCCAAGTGGTCGTCAAACCACCCACACCTTTTTGCACAAACTCAACAAGAAAAGGCTGATAGAACTGACTCTGTCAAAACACTTGGAATGATTTGGGCTCATCATGGTGATATATTTCATTACCATTTGGAAGACAGCTTTAGCTCGTTTGCCCAACAAAACGCAATATTTTGTCCGTGACGTCACGGTTATTCGATCCGCTGGGGTTTTTGGCGTAAAAAGCTATATTGGGATGAAGCTATCCCAATGAACCCGCACACTGATTGGAACAATATCAAGAGCACGTTAAACGAGCTCGGTTTCAGTGTCTTGCTTTGTTTGTTTAAGCAACTTTCAGACGTTGCAAATCCACGGTTTTGCTGATGATTTTTTTTTTCTAACTAGCAGGTCGCTCTATATTGGCTCAAAAGGGATTCTGCTACCTTGAATACATTTGTTGCAAATAGTTCCAGAAGTTCAAGTTTGGTCAGATCAGATAATTTGGCGCCATATACCAACGGATGTGAATCCCGCCGATTTAGTGTATCGCGGCGCTAACATTGACGAACTTATGGATTCGTGTTGGTTCACTGGTCCCAAATTCCTTTTTAACACGCTTTTATTAGCTTTACCTCTATGTATGTATGTAACGAATTTTTTCAGCGTAATTTTTACCAATTTCCAGAAGTCTGATCAGCTTGAAAATTCGCACAGGGGTCAAGGACTGATTAATTCATCCAAATCGGTTAATTCTAAGAAAAGTAATTAGCGAAACAACTTTACTACGCCCACAAGTCGCAGCATCCGATTTGCGTCAAACTGTCCACAACAGGATTGATTGCTGAAATGCAATCAAATCTTATGATCGAACTAGAATGAGCCAGCGTTCTATTTTGCTTCAAGTACCAGCCTTGATTGGTTTTTCGCAGGTTTTACCCGAGTATGTCTCGAGTATTGCGTGGGTTTTACCCGAGTAAAAACAAGTAAAAAAGCTAAAGTCGGGTGTCCCGACTTTGAAATACTCTGTACATATGTTTAGAATAATTATAGAAATTAAAAAGTAAGAAAATTAAAAAAAAAAAAAATTTGATCGATTTTACCTCTTTTGGTATTCGAACTCACGTAAAGGGTGTATAATTGCACATATACAAAGCAATTGCGTCTATGTGAGTGTATGTATGTTTATGCGCGTCTATTTGTGTCTGTGTAAGCATTTTCGTAGTCAACAAAACAGCAACACCAACAACAGCCGCGGGCAGCGCTGCAGCAGCAAATATATTTATGGCTATAACTTCTTGTTAAATCGGTCTATCATAGTGAAACTTGGCATACGGACATATAATAACTAACTGAAGGCATTTGCAAAATTTGCGTCCGAAACCTAATATACTCTTGTACATTTGATGTCCAGAGTATAAAAAGGAACTCAAATATATTAAAGTAAACAAATTAATATACATTAAAATATCATAACTATTTTTATTTAAATAAAAACGACCTTCCATGTTTCCTGTCAAATTGCGAGATTCACATGTACGCAGATGATGTCCAGTTATATGTTAGTCGTCCGTTAAATAGAAT